GCACATACTCTGAAAATTTTCTCATCTAGTTCACCATATTTACACATTTCTGTATGCTTACATGTCTACAATCATATGTAAGGGGCCTAATCATAAAATTCCTTTAATGATCTGAATTCTACCCCCCAGGAAAAAAAAAAGCCACGTTCAAGGATAACCTTTTCATTAAATATATGTTAAAAATGCAAAACGTTAAATAATAGAATGCTTCTGTAATATCACTAAATAGCTGGTGGAAAAAAAAAAGCATTTGTAAAATTAGAAGAACTAGGAACCAAATATCACTGATGCTGTCATTTTATATTATGGAAAATGTACTAACAAACATATCAATCTTTAGCATGCTTGAGTTAGAAGAATAGAAGAATGCATGTTGAGCATACTGAAATTGAACATATTTTGAGAATTTATGTTTCTTATTCTCACTGTTAAAAACCACCTGGAAGTAGCATCTGCTAAGTTTCCCTCAATGCATCTTAGTATGATTTTAAAATACAGATAGTACCATCTTGTAGTTCAGAAGATTGAAGAAAGTGCTCTACCTAGTTAACAACTAAGATCTGGATTCCATTTAAGTGTCTCAGCCTTCAAGCTTACAAAGAAAGTGAAATTGACTGGTTTTCCTGGGTGCCTGAAAAGTTGCAGGATGATCCTACAAAACTCCTCCTTGGCACAATATTTTGTTACTCCCCATAAGTTTCTGTAGCACAACTCCAAAGTGCTTTCCCAACAATTTTTGATATTTTTTTTTTAATGCAACTATGAAGCCACCTACATATTCAGTACAAAACTTGTTTCCTTTAGGAGGTAACACCCAACCACAACAGTTTGCTTTAACTCCTCTAAGCATGTTAGACATAAACACATTAGACAACATGAACTGCATGTATCTCAGTATAACAGCAACCAACATGAAGGTCATTACACTCACAGACTGAAATTTCAGCTGCGATTGCACAATATTGTTATACTGAGAATCATCCTCTTTTTAGTTTGCAGAACAGATTCAGCCTATTCAAGAGCTCAACATACCAAGCGAGGCCAGATATTTCCTTCCTATGCAACAGTGAGGAAACACTAATAAAGTTACTGCGACAGTCAGTACTGTAAGTGAAGGGAAAAGTATACTACAGTTTAAATACTAAAATCCAAGTATTTGACTTTTTTATACTTGATGCTGACTTGCACCCAGATTTGGCAATAATTAGTTCGTCACTGACAAAGGTAGAATAGCCACATACCCAAACAGTTTCAGAAGACCGTGAAAAACTATTAACGTGTGAGATTCAGAGTCTGACACACACATGGAGTAAAGTATGCTGGTACTTCTTCAGATGTAAAGGACCAAAGCTCAGTTATTACAGCAGTGGTATAAACCTCAAGATGATGAAGAAACTTGCAATTGAAATTAATTCTAAAGATGTGTCCCATACACAAGTACTATAAGGGATCAAAAAGTTCACTACAAGATCCAAGAACAAAAAACAAACAAAAGCTCATGGCAGACCATACACCCATCTGCCTTGCCCTCATTTGTAAATAGGGCTCTTACTTGTCACCTGAACCATGTAGCAGAAAACAAGGAGAGGTGGGAAAAAAAATCACTCAATAATTCCCATAGGTTTCATACTTTGGATAAAAATCTCATTCATAGGATAAATCTTAAGTTCAGAGCAGGAAAATAAAATGACAAAATTTTGCTAAGTCATTTGGTTTTCCACATACTTTTCATAAAGTATCATTTGCAAAGTTATCAAGTTAACTTAGGAAGGAACCTTTAATTACTAAAGAAGGAAGAAACTACCTGCACAGGTGAGAGCTGCATGTAAGAAATGTAATTCTCATGCTTCTTGCTTCCATATTAATTACTACTGTCATGCTACCAAATTTTTTTCCTATTCAACTCAGGAGGCCACATTCACAGATTAACAACAATCACAGTGGCTTCAAAGGGCAGAACAGTTGTTTGGGGTTCAAGATGTCAGGGCTTTATTAGTCACAGAATAAACTGGGACTTTATTACTTGAGTTGCAAGACCAAAAAGTAACTATATGCTATAAACATACACACACACATGAAAACCATAGGACTGGTTTCCATACACGTCTTCCAAAAAATATTCTCAACAGAGTTCCGTATTGAACTTAATCGCTATAAGGGTTGACATCTAACATGCAAAGGGAACACACTCTCCCTGCCTCATTCCTAATCACATTTCTATCCTGGGCTTCTGAAGTTAGCCAAAAAAAAAAAAAGAATTCTCCTCATGCATACACACTTAGCAGTGAACATGCCTCCTGCTTCCCATGACCTAATACACACACACACACAGAGTGAAGCAACACTTACAAAGCCAGGGTCAGAACTAGGATGGCAGATTAAGAAATAAGCAAATGAAACATTGTGGCTGCGGATGACAAATGACAGTTACAAAAAAAAAAAAAGCAGCAGAGTTGGCAGAAACACATCACAGTATCTAGAGGCCACATGAGTTCACACCAGCACTTTGCAGGCAGATAGAGTTTTCAACATCTCAGAACTGAGCTTTACATTTATAGAATGAGGTACTCCACTGTGAAGTCACAAGTCTATACACAAAACAAGTACTTCAAGATGGCCCTGCTTGCCGATGAACACCACTATGTGATCTATTTACCTATGAATATAGTACTACACTACTTTGGCACTACAGAAAATACGAGAGCCAGTCCATTGCTTTCTACTGAAAATGCCCACCCATGTTCACCACACCAATTTTAGGAACAGCTGCTCTGTAAGGTTTAAAACAGTAAAACACAGAGTAAGTGAAATAAATAGCAAAATCTCTTTCTTCTTTTGGGGGGGAAAGAGTGGGATGTTTTGTTTTGCTTTGTTTTCTTTTATTCTATCTTAATTACAGCTGTAACAACAACAAAAACCCTGCAAATTACACATTTAGTTTACAAGTTTAATATAAAAGTTGAGAACTCCTGAAATGTCCAGGCTTAGGTAGAGTTCTTTCTTCTTCAGTCTAAAGGTGTATATATATACATATATCACAAACATTGGCTGCTGCTAAAGCATGTTATCAAAACCTGTAGTTACGGTGCAATTTGATGGAATGCTGCTTCAAGACTGCAAGCATTCACCCAATGCATAAATCATAACAAGAAATATTCTTTTTAAACAATTAAACTGTTATGTTTTCATAAGAAATACGCACAACTCATACACAAATGCCTCAGATTCACAGATGTCTGAATCCAAACATAAGTTTGTGATGCATGGTTTTATTTTTACGTGCACACATAATCTTCTCCATTATGAAAAGCAAGCATTTACGGTGAGAGATCTATACTGGAACTCAGATGCTTGCTCCCTGCCTTCTATAGTTGTTCAATTTTTGCTCCTGACACAAAGTTTGTACTGGTAGGACAAGGATCACACTGCAGACCCATCAGCTCCTCACTATCTTCGGCAGTTGCTTCTCCCAAGAAACGAAAAAGAAGGAAAGAGAGCGTGTGCTGGACCTGTCTCCAACATGAACACCCGGTCGAGTCCGTCGCTCGAAGGTTTTCCCGACCCTTTCTCCCACCTTGGCCGGCACCGCCGCCTCCCCGCTACCCCGAAGGGGCCGCTCGCTCAGCTCCGGGGAAGCCGCAGCCTCCCATGCCCGCGGGCGGCGGCTTTCCCATAGCAGCACCCGGGGCCGAGCAGGGCCCGGCTCGGAGAGCCCCCGAGTCATCGTGCTCGGGGAGGGCACCGCGGCCGTCAGGGCGCTCCGGGCCCTACCCGGCGCGACCGGACAGCGCGGTCAGCGGCCGCCCGCCCTCCTCCGGCGCCCTGCGGCCCCCGCGACGCAAACGCGGCCCCCGCGGCCCGCGGAGCCGGGTTGGCTCCGGAGCCAGCGGCCCAGGCGGGCGCCATGCTAAAAACCAAAATGGCTGCCCCAGGGAAGGGAGCCCAGCTCAGGCCGTGAGGGGCTGCGCCTCCGCCGGCCCCGCCGCCCGGCGACGTCGCTTCGCCCGCCGGACCTCGCGCAGGTACCGCCCCCGTCCCCGGCGACCGGCCCGGCCTCAGAGACCCGCCGGCCGCGCTCTCCCGCGCGCGGCCCCGAGCCCCCGAGCCGATCCCGGCCCCGCGCGGAGCGCAGCCCGGGCCCGTACCTGCAGCTCGGCCCGTTCCACCTCCCAGTGCGCCCGCTCCATTTCGAAGCGGGCCCACTCGTGCTGGATGTAGTGCAGGATCCCCGGGATGGTGTAGTGCTGCGGCCGGGACAGCTCGGCGGGGCCCGCCGCCTCCTGCCCGCCCGGGGCCGCGGGGCCCTGCGGCTGCTGCTGCCCTCCGCCACCGGCTCCGGCCCCCGCGCAGCCGCCGCCCGGCTGCAGGTTCGCGTTACCCCCGCTCTGCGGCGGGGGCTGCTGCGGCCTCGGCGCGGCCGCCATCCCGCCGCCTCCTCCGGCTCCGGGGTGCTCGTCCATTGTCTGCGGGGAGCCCTCCTTCTCGTCCCGCGGCGGGGGCCTGGAACGGGGGCCGGGGAGGGGGCGAGCGGCGCCGGCTGGGACGGGCGGGAGGAGGCGGGCCGGGTACGGGGAGGCGGGGGGCCGCGCCGAGCGGTATCCGGGTGTCAGAGCAGCGCCGAGCCGCCGCCAGCCGCCATTACAGCCTCCCGGCCTCGGCCCACCCACCCGCGGCCGGGCGGGGAGGGGAAGGGGGAGCGGCGCGGCGCGCGAGGCCTGCCGGGAAGTCGCTCCCCTCTCCCCTCCGCTTCTTCCTCCCGGCCCGTCGAGGCGGCGGAGCGCGCATGCGCTTGTGGGAGGTGAGCGCCGAACCCCGGGGGGGGGACTGGGGCAGCGCGGGGGGAGGGGGGCAGCGCGTCCTTCCCGCCGTTGCTGCCGGTGCGGGCGCGTGGCGAGGCGGTGGGCGCTCTCGGCTGGGTTCCCAAGGCCTCTCCGGTTGCGCCTCGCGGGGCTGCGCGCAGGGCTGCCCGGGGGCCTTCGGTTTGCCTCACAAGTAGGTGATGCTAGAGGAGGTTGGCTAAGCGCGCTCTGGCGGTGCCCGATCTTAGTGGTATCGTAACGAAGGTCGTCTTCGTGGCGTAGCATCTGGGGGGTTTGTGCAATGTTTTCCTTCCTTGATGGGAGGAACGAGCCCAGCCGTTACCGCACAGGGTGCTTTCGCGAGTGACGGGCGCGCTGTTGGCAGCTGCGGGCTCCGTGTGCCGGGCGGCTGAACCCGGCTTGGTGGCACAGCGCGTGTGGTGACGCCGCCTCTGTGCGCAGCGCGGCTCCGAAGTGCAGCGCTTCCAAGTGACCTGCAGGATCTGTAGGCCGCCTCTTCTTGAGTAACGGGGGGATTTGGTTTTGCTTCCCTAAAGATACGTGTGTGCTGTATATATGGGCAGGAACACGGACGGTGTCCTTCACGGGCTCGTTCTTGACAGTGCTGTAATTGTCTTAAGTGCTGAAAAATAAATCCCGCTTGTCCCAGCGCTGGCATTTCCTCTCTGCTGACCTCTCCTCAGGTGCGTGTTGCTGTTTCAGTTGTTTTACAGTTCCTATCCGACTTTTCTCCATTAAGTCATTTCCTACCATCATTTCCTCGGTCTTCCTTTTTCCACACTGATCAGCCTGTCTAAATCCAACCCTTCCATCTCAGCAGATCTTTTCATTGTCCCCTGACAGTATCAAATCATTACCAAAAATTGCACCTTACCTCACAGCCAACTTAGTGCTTTGTTTTATTCCAGCCCTTGAGATGTTCCTCACTGCTGAATACCTTGGAGCTGCTGCAGTTTAGCTTCATTGCTATATTCAGAAAGCATTCTGACAACCACTCTGCAAAGGAAAACTTTTTACAGCTTCCTTCCTCCTTGGCTTCCCTAGATTAGTAAGGTTGCTTTTCTTAAAATTCCTGATCCTGAAGTTAAATATGGTGATTTATTTCAAAGCCACACTGACAAAGTTGTTTCATTTCTAGGTGGATAATAATTTGAACACTAAGACCCAGAATACAAAAATGGTTATTCTTATCAATATGACTTTTACTAAAGCCTTGTTCACAGTCAGAACAAAAATAGAACACAGATATCAATTATATGAACTGTCTTCATTTGCTACATGGCTTTTCACAATGAATTAATAGCTGGGAAGTTGAGTAGACCCAATGTATACCTCAAAAACGTTTGCCCACCTGCTGTCCTCCCTGCTTGTTTTCTATCACTTGGCCATTTTTTAATTCCAGATTAACCTATTTTGTTCTACATTTAGTACAGATAAAACACAATTAAAACCTGTGTCCAGAAAATCAACTCATTTATAGAGTTAGTGCAGTGAATTATTGACTTGCAGTTCTGTTTAATTCTTGTCAAAACAAATATATAAAAATATAGCCACGTGTTTCTTGTTTGCTAGATTTGATCTCTTAATTATGCTTTAACTCAGAGTTCTAAAGTGTTGGAGAACTCTGATGTAGCACAATAACTTCCACATCTGTGAAAGTTGACTAGAGAGGTTTTAATTTGACAGACAAATCTAATTTGAATGAGAACTCTACTGCCTGAGGTCTCAAACCAGGGTTCTGTTTCTTTTTTATAATCTATGTGTCAGAGTATGTATGTACAGATATTAGTGAAATCTTGGACAAAATAAGCTACTGGAGATGTAATTAAAGTTGTTTAAAATGTGATTTCTATTACTGCATATGAGATCTGCTGAGCTGGCCACACTGGAGATGTAAGACCTCCTTTTATCCACAGAACAGGTATTGCAGGCTTGGCCTCTCTAAGAGGTCTCAGCAAGTATCTGAAAAGACGCGTACAGGGGTGTGACTCACCACCAGGGACAGTCTGCACTACGGTGCCTCACGAGGTCACGCTGCTTAGTGAGCTGGCTCCTGGAAGCACATCCTTCACAGCTTCCATTATGTTGTTTTGAAGCAAACTGGGTGGATTTGAGTACAAAGCTGGAGTTACCTATACAAACAGGTGAGGAAAATGAGCCTGCTTAGGGGCAGAAAAATCCAGAAGCATCTCACTTTGTGAGCCAGGGGTTGTTAAATCTTCAGCTTGTCTACTGGTGTAGAATGAGTTAAAGTGATGGTGTAGGTCATCAACAACTACGTACTGCATCAGTCTGCTGCAGTGAGTCACACACACCAATCGTGATTCCAGTTTTTTCTCACAGATATTTATCTGCAAGAGATACTTTAATGAGGGTGAGATCTAATACACTGTAACAATGCGTGTACATCACAGGAGTTACTCTGACTGTGGTTTATGTGTATGCCAAACTAGCCATACGGAAGAAATCTCTTGTGGAAGAAACAGAGAAGCCGCTCTGTGGCTCACACTTTGGTACTTTGGAAGGAAAGACCACAATTTCAAGATGTTTTATGTCTTCTCTGTATGGTAATTTTGTGGGTCTGGGTTTTATTTCTTTCTCAGAGTCTCCATGATGTTACAGTGCATCACAGGTACTTGTAGATGCAGAAGCAGATACTGTAGGCTATTCTGGACATGATTTCAAATGCATGGCTGACTGTGACAGGGAGAGCTGGGCTTGACAGGCCATGGGGGATCTCGGTAGTCCCCTCCAGTCTTCTATTCTTGAGCCCATTTGTGATGCAGATAGTTGTCCACTGACCTGGAATGAGGCTGCCTATTCATTCCTGACAAACAGCCTTCAGATAGCAACATCTTTTCATTACTAAAATGAGCAAAATAATGGCAGCAGTATGAAAAGCTCACATCTTGTCACCAATTCTCTTGAAGCATTCGATTCTGTAAGCAGAAAGGCATAGTAATTCGTGTTGGATTTGAGCATATATGCATGCACACATGCAGGCACGCACGTGAGAACAAACAGAAAAGCATGTTGGAGTTGCATTGGAAGAAGCAGAACCGTCTTTGTAAGTAGAGTGCTTGTTGGACATAAAAACTAGTTCCTGAAATACATGGAACTTGATGGAGCAATGGGACATTCTCCACTCATAACATGCACAGCTATGCATTCTGTTATATATATATGTAAATCTCATGTAAATCAGATAGAAAATGTATTCCAGGATTTCTGCAGAAGATTGTGTGCTTTTAGTGCCATTTGTGTGAGGAAAAAATGTTAGAAGCTGTGATTGAGGCTGGCAACAAAATACTTAGAGAAATAACAGGTGATACTGCAGACCTCTCCTCTGCAGATGTTAACCATCTACTCTAATACTGTGAGTGATGTCTGTCTTTTATGACAGGTGACACATTTGAGTACTACTGTGGCTCTGCCTCTGTTACAGCATAATTCATATTTCTATAATGATTCTGGGTAAGAGCATTTGTAAGGATTTTTTTTAAAAATAGTTTGAGTCTTACGTATTTTTGCAGGTAAAATAGTACAGGGCTTATGAAAGAATAAACAGACATATTAGTCATAACACCAGAAAGGGATTAAGGAAGATTAGGTTAACAAAGGAATAATTAGGATTAGGGGCAATCCTGCAATAGGATACATGTATATCTATTCATAAGGTTTTTTTTTTTTTTTTTTTTTTCTGTGAGATATTCCTTAGTGGTAACTCAGAATACACCAACTCTCTTCAAGGACTGATTCATCTCACTGGCATACTTTTCTTTTTTTATTCCTCTGAGTATTAAGGCATCTCTTCTTACTGCCCCTCTGTAAATTAAGGCAGCAGTACAAAATAGGAAAAAATAGGGCCATACACGAAACGCAGAAAATATTATATAGGAGTTGCTTTCTCATTTTGTTCTGTCAGCCTGAGATGCCACCTGACAGTGAAGATTCCTTAATACACTTCCATCTGGGCCTTTTGTGTCTCAGCTGCCTCATTTGTTTTTTCTCAGAGAACCGTTTCCACTCCCTGACGAGTGCAAAGCCTGGACAAGCAGCGTGCACTTCACAGTGCTTATGGACATTCCTGACTCATCCATCTGAGGGAACCAACAAGAGGGCACTTCTCTTCTTGACATAGACTTCACTCTGTCTAGGAGGTGAGAAAACAGACCGCCAGGGTTGCAAGCAGACTCTATTGTCATCTGTATTGATTCTGGACTCTTGTTCCCTGTAGGTGTGCTACACAAGAGCAGATAAAAAAGGAATTTTCAGAGTAAGAGGGATAAAAGCTTTCTTGCAGATATATGGTAGTGCAAAGGAAGAGCTCTCCTTGATAGCTGATGCATCCTCTGGTATTTTTTCTTATCTACTCTTCCATTTCAAATATATTACCTGTGTAAAGAGTTGTATGTAGAGGACAGTAAAGGGAAGAAGAGGATTAAAGTTATCATCTTTAACTGTAAGTCACAATTAAAGCAATTTTTTTTCCCTAAGGTCAGTATGGCTGATAGAAAAGAATCCAGTCAAAGAATTTTTTTTCAAAATATTTTTGGTGAAGATTTCTTTAAAGCAATATTGCTCCTCCCAGGCTGCTTTTCTGAAGTAGGTCTGTGTGAAGCTGTGTATCAGTGACAGGATTTTTTCCTTTTATTGTTGACTGACTTTTGTGGATTTGGTGTATGATTTTTTTCTCAACATATGTTGTTTTAAAACATTTCTAATCAAATGGTAATTTCTCAAGGATAAGAAATGCTGGTACATCATCTTCTAATCACTCTTGGTAAGAGTGATACATATTTGAGAATAAGACTTATTTATTTAATTAGCTCTTACAGTTACAATCCTAGTGTTTCCTATGGTTTCATTTTCCTTACTGACAATGCTTTTGAAACTGTAGATAACTCTACTGATAAGTTATCACTGTTCACACAACAAATTCTCATTATCAGGTCCAATGAGCATAGATGCATTTAATATAGAAATTTAAATTTCTTTGTTTAGGGAGTAAACCACAGTATGATGTGATCATTTTCTTCAAATAGCAGTGATGTTAACGGAGATGGCTTTTCTTTCAGGAAATAACTAGGTGGCCAATATTAATCAGAAGTAAGCGGTAATTGATGTCAGCACCAATATGTTGGGACTTCTCATATTTCTACCATATAAGATTTAGATTTTCTATTTTTTCCCTTTTCTCTAAGATACATGTTTTTTACACAGATAGCTGCATTGTACTCTTCTCTGTTCTCAGGAGTTCTGAGATCTTAGGAAAGCGTATTTGCATTATAACTTCTAAAGCACCAGGCAAGAAGCAAGTCTTCAAAACTGGAATGAAGAAATAACTTCTGCTGCTGTTTTGCCAATGTGTATGCTTCAAGAACACAGGGGCCAATAAGTCCTTGATCCAAGCAGAATCAGTTGGAAAACATTTCAGTGACCATTTTCTAGCAGTGAAGAAAATAATCAAAAACCTCATTAAAAAAAAAAAAAAAAAATATATATATATATACACACAGCTTACCTTTTTCTGCCTGCTTTCAATAAAATGAAAAAAATGCCCGCTTTTGTATGGTAAGCATATTCTGTGCTTTTTTTGATAGTCTTTGTCATTGTACTTTGTATTTGGCATATTTATACTTCATGTCTGTACTTCAGTAACGTATGGATTAATACTTATTTAGAGATTAAGCTATTTTGAGTGATTAACACTAACAGATTTCTCCTTAGAAATTTCTCCTAAGCCCCATGCGTAGTTTTTGTCAACTGCAGAGCTTACTTTTCCTTCCAGTGCCAGTCTGGGCTGGACACTTTCTTGGAAGTCTTTTATAACTCCTATGCTTACTAATTTTTTTTTTTTTTCCTTCTCTCTCCTCACAGAAATGCTCTTATAAATTCCTACATCAGTAATTCAAATTGACTGCTGAAATCAACAAAAAAGAAAATGATAAAATTTTTTCTTATGGTGAACAAACAAGGTCAAACGAGGCTCTCCAGGTATTATGAGCATATAGAAATTCATAAGCGGACAATGTTGGAAGCTGAAGTAATCAAAAACTGTCTCTCTCGTTCAAAGGATCAAGTAAGTTTTTTTTAAGTCCCTAGTTGTTTTAGTGCACATAAGTAATTTCAGAAACATATCAGTTTTTTTTGTAGGTCATTATTTCATTTGTACCCACGAAGAACAAAAATGTTTCTACATAGTGTTCATGTAGATGAACTGTTATTCTGTATTGAATAAATGTTTCACTGGAGCTTATAATGATTTTGGAGTTTTCTGTATCACTGTCATAGAAGAGACTTCCTTTGCTTGAAAGAGTTCAGAAGTCCAGGAATAATTTATTTTTTCCTGTTATTGCTTCTCTAGTAGTGATCTATAGATAGACCTTAGTCTTCTTTGCCAAGAAGGGTGGAGGTATAGCATGGACAGCTCCAATTTTAAACAAAACACTTGTTAGAGAAGATTTCAAATCATGTGCTATCTAAAACATAGGGTTTTTGTTTTTTTTTTTAAACATATTTTTCAGCCATCTTGGGCCAAAAATTCATTTTTTGGCTTTTTTTTTCTTTTTTCTTTTTCTTTTATTTTTAAAGTTTTTAAACATTGTGCATGAAAGTCAGAAAACTCAGCTTTTGGAATTTCTGTTAGATTGCACTTCAGATTTTCATGGCTCATGTAATTGAGCTGTTGGTTCTTTAAGAAAAGTACCAAACTTAGCAAAAAAATTCAAGATCACTGACTTCCATTTGGTGAGAAATGGACTGCATTTTTTTTTTTTTTTAATTTGTTTTCTGAATTCATCTTATTTTTCATTAATTGGGTGTCCTGGAACAGTGGTCTTAAGACATTTAATTCTAGAAAAAAAATCATACAAAAAAACATATAAACTGCAGATTCACAGAATTAACAGTAACTGAAGAAATTAACCTCCTCCATACTGCTTGCAAGAGCACGTCTAAATAGAAACTTCACCAGAAGAATTGACAACAGCATGCTGCCATTTCAAGGACTGAGCAAAATCTTATTTGGGGAAAGGTTATTTGTAAAGCTGTGTGTAACAGCACCATCTACTGGCTCCTGACTGATGGTGAACTGCAAGTCGATTTTTCCCTTGTGTTTGACTATCTAATACACTTAACATTTATAAGAAGATTGACCATTCTTAAATATGAAAATAATCTTCAGTTGCCTCTTTTGTAAGTGCTTCTAATTGAAAATTTAGAGGAAATATTTACTGCCCTTGAATTGCAACCCTGAACAAATCGTTTCAGTTCTACATGCTCCAGTTTATCCATATAAGAAGTGGTATTAAGTTTTCTGTCAATAGATGAAAGGTTTAATGTAAAAGTTACCCTCTTAAACTTCTATCAAATCAAAATTACCTGTTAGACACTGGGAAAACCATTAGTTTTTATGTGCCTTATATGAAGGAAAGATTAATAATGTTTCAAGCTTAACTAGCAGCTACTAAGTTTGACGAGTTCTGCTTTTGCCTAGTGCTCTTTCATTGAGTATAAGGACTTTAAGTTGGTATACCGACAGTATGCAGCCCTTTTCGTAGTCGTTGGAATCAATGAGACAGAGGTAAGAAATTATATGCTATCTTTAAATGTAAGCCTGTAGTAATCACAGGCAAGAACTCGAGCTTTTTTTTCCAGTATGGAATTTGCAGTATATATTAGAGAGCTTCAATTAGACATGACAACAAGTATGTACTTCTTGTAAACAGAAGAGAAGGCTCCAAGGAGTCCTTATAGCAGCCTTCCAGTACCTGAGGGGGGCCTACAGGAAAGCTGGGGCGGGACTTTTTATGAGGGCAGGTAGCAACAAGACAAGGGGAAATGGCTTTAAACTGGAAGATTAAACTGGTAGATTTAAACTAGATATTAGGAAGAAATTCTTTTCTGTGACGGTGCTGAAATACTGGAGAGAGGTTGTGGATGCCCCCTCCCTGGAAGCATTCAAGGTCAAGCTGGATGGGGCTTTGAGCAACCCAGTCTAGTAGGAGGAATCTCTCTCTATAGCAGGGGGGTTGGAATTGGATGATCTTAAAGAACCTTCCAATCTATTCTGTAATTCTATAAATTTAAAATTGCGGGGTGAGTTTTCTTAACAAATATCAGCATTGCAGTTCAGTTGTCTCCTGTGTAGTGAATTGCCAGCTGCTCCCTGTTTTCAGCTTCTTTGGACAAAGGAAAAAAATCCATACTATTACCTAGAAAGATGCTATTTTATTTTTAAAACAAAAGGAAAAAAAAAGTATCTGACTGAAAATTACTAAGTACTGTTACTTAATAAGCCTTGAAGACTAAGTCGGAGCTGAAGTGTTTACACTGATTTACAGTTCTTGGAAATTAATTTTAAGCTTACTCCTGAAGACATTAATTTATTTTTAACTTACTTTCAGAATGAGATGGCAGTGTATGAACTAATTCATAACTTTGTGGAGGTTCTGGACAAATACTTCAGCAGAGTGGTGAGTGAGACTTTGAATCTACTGTGATATATTTCTTCTTCAAAGCTCTAGTGAATGTCTTTTCAGGGGAAAAAAAGAAATTAGTTTTTTTTTTTTTTTTTAAATATTCATATACTGCTTTGAAAACAGCAGCATGATGTTACGACTGTTTAAAAAAAAAGAAGAAGAAAAAAATTATTAAGAGTATTAGTTGATTTTTCAGAGAAGTATGCATGGTCTATATCATCAGACAAGGAATACCAGAAATGTTTCTGTTAGAAAAGCGTGTTCTTATACGCTTATATTCAGGGATTTCTTTAGGTCGTTGCTCTCAAAGTAGCCACTGGCATTTTATATTTCAAAAGTTTTTTTTTTTTTTTTTTTTTTTAAAGCAGCTTAGGACTATGTTCCTTCAACACTAAATTTGTGATGAAGACAGTTTAAGCATTAAGCAAGGAGCTGGCATTACTCTCACTGAACAAAATTAGAGGGATAGAGCAAATGAAATCTCAAGAGTCAGAATGTTCTTGTGCACTCCATACCGTCATCATTCTACAGTGAATATCTGGTACAACTACTTTTGTAACAATGTTTGGTTTTTTTTGAAGATTCAAAGACAGAAATAGCTTGAGTTAAAATGACACTTTCTGTTTTAGTATTTTGTTTTCAGAAAGCTGGAGAAGGCAGCATAATAACAATGGTTAGAACATCTGCTATTAATTACAGTTCCAGCACTATTTAAAATGAGATTATTACAAATTCTGTATTAAACAAATCTGGGTTGAATAATCTTTAAGCATAATTTTAGATTGGCTACATTAAAGTGTGGTGGATACAATTTCCTCCATAGTCCATCAGTCTGAGAGTATTACATTGGTAATTACAAGAGATCATCACACAGTGTTTATGGTGCTTATGTAGTAGATCCAAAGTAGACATGGCAGATCATCCTGTATGAATTCAAGGACATGACTGAAAAAGTCTTCTAAACTCTTTACCATTTAAAGAGATTCCATGCCATTCCATCATTCTATTTTCAACTGCATATAACATAATAAATGGTAGAACACTGAAGAAGGTGGCCATAATTCTAGTTAGGGTTTCTGCCAGTAACCACAGAGCAAAAAATATTTTAAGTTTGTACAATTGTGGATTAACATTTAGGATTGGCATGATTTTATAGGACCAAATTATGACGACAACAATGGAAACTAAACTCTGGAAAAGGAAATAACATCTGTCCTCTAGAATGACATTTCATCTATTATTTTTTAGGTTTGTGAGCCTGAAATATTTTCATGCTTTGTTTTTGTCTGATGGAGTTTACAGAGCTTGAATTAAAATATAAGAACAAATATTAACAGAATTAACTGCAAGTGCTATGATACTTGCACTGAATCACCTGCACTTCCGTTATAGATGCCCAGGAAGAACCATGCATACTGTTTGTAATACACACTCCAATGTTTTCAACTGCTTTTTAATACTAAGTTCAAACTGATTGGACTTCTTAAAGTACAGTTTTGTGATGAATAAAAATCTCTAACTGAAGAATGGCAAGGTCACTCAGTGGAGACCAGTCTGATTTAGAGCATTCTTGGACCACAGAAGAAGTTGTACTTATATCAGTGAAAACTCTGACTAAAATTCCAGGGCTAGTCTGTGAATGGTGGAATCCATATCAACAAATACAGTAAATTCCCTTAGTAGGAGATATTCTGTGGGAACAGACATTTTTCTTTCAGCAGAGAGTGGGGAAGTTCAACTCTAAGCGTGCGGGATCTGAGGCTGTGACTAATTGTTTCTAAATTTAAACATTTAACTGAAGCACCCAAGTTAGATGTCTGGTCATCCTATGCTCCCATTACAGGGAGCAGAGACAAACAAGTATCTCTAGAAAGTGAGTCATGTCTCAAGTTTGCTGAGGCAACTGTTGAAGATACCCATCTCATCTGCTGACTGTAGAGGGCTGCTGGCTCAAACACTTCACTTAAATGAAGTTGGTTGGGCTGAAGCAATAGCTGTAAGTGGTAGGGGTCCAGTGCATAGAGTTGCTGTATCCTGCCACAGCTGCCACCACCATGGATATACACTCATGTTTTTATAGAAATTATAAACTTTGCATTGCCATCTTGTTTTTGCAGAGGAAGAGAGAGAATATAGGGCTGAAGATGCCATAAGCAGAGGTGCTGTTTTTCTGCCTATTCTCTGGGAGAGCACTGCATATATTCTAATTATTACTTGTGAGTGGACTTTAATGGGTTGGTTTTTTTTTCTTTCTTTTTTCTAAGTAAAATTTTCAGAAATTTAGCTTTTGTTAGAGGCAGGTAACACATCAAATGCAAAGAAGCAGCACAGTAAAGAACATAGAACTGTGCAGTCCATAGAAGAATATTAATCAGCCTAAATTTTTTTAATCTCTATTTTGAAGACTTTATCATCTGCAGGGATATGTAATGTTCATTGACTATGAGATAAAATCAGACCATAATTAATGTTTATCTCTCTTTCTTTCAGAGTGAATTAGATGTATCCTTTTTGGTATCAGAAAGCCATTTGTTTATCACTTTTTGGTGTATATTCTAGCTCACAATGGAACTGATAGCAGTCAGTCATACACTTGAGTTTAACTTTAATGGAAATAGGTAACATTTGTGCTTTTTTGTTTGTTTATTTTGTGTGTGTTTGTTTTTTGATTTTGTTTTTAATTAAGTAGTGTTGTTAGGACAGTTGAATAAATAAGTTGTCCCAGTGATGCTTCTTCCTAATGTGTTGATATCACTATATAAGCCTCTCTTTCATGTATTAAATAAGTGGGTGGAATTTCAAGTAGCTCTAAAACGACAGCTTAGGTAGCATAGGAGCTACTTTCCTGGTGTGTTTATCACAGATGATAAAAATGGAAGTGTTATCACAGCAGGTTTGTGGGGGAACAGCATGCTGCTAAGCGTGAAAGTTTTACAAAATTACAATAAGCTGACTTTTGTGTTGCTTGAATTAGTGAAGCAGTGCTTACTTGAAGACATAAGTAACATATAGAAGAAACATATTTACATTCTCCTTGTGGGTGAAAGAGGAAGCATTCTCTAGAACCAAGTATTTAAAGAATGTTGCCTGGATACAAAAAAGAACATTACATTCCTTTGCAACTAGCTGCTTCTTCTAGGATAGAAAAAAAGCTTTGATACAGGAAATACTTTATGTGAGTCAAGTCTTCAGTCCACTTTTAGAACACGGCACACATATAAAATTAAAAAATTGAATTATGAATTTATATTGATAATTTTTAAGGAAACAAGTTAGTAAACTATAAAATAAGTGGATGAAATGGAAACTCACACGTATTAGCTTAAAACTGTTCATTAAGGAAAAGTTTCTCTCTAGGGTTGTGATGTAAGGGAATGTGCTCACAGAAGATCAGCCACCTTGCAAACTTTCAGAGAACTTATCCCAGAGTATCAACTGCTGTTAGATAGGCTAGAAAAAGCAAACATCTGAAAAGATAAAATGACAATACATAGTATTTCTTGAATCTAGATTAAAAGGAAAAAAAAAAAAAAAAAAGCAGCAGCTTCAACTAACCTTTAGTTGAAGATGAATGATCCAGACCACAAATCAAAGCTCTTTAATACTGTATATTCAGTAGCAAAGCACATACGTACTCACGCTATAATCTACACAGATTTTGTTTGTGCTTCTGGGTGTGTTACCTGATCACAAGGTGTTGGTTGTACTTTATAATGTCTTAAGCTTGTACACACCCTAATTTACTTGCCTGGAATATCCTGAGATATCTTTAAATGTCTCCATATAACTTGAATGTGCATTTTTCCCTCCCTTCTTCCCCATTTCAGTATTTGCCTCTAAGTTGTTTCAGGAAAGGAGACACAGGATTATGTCACCTTTATCTCCTTTTAGTATGTGTGCCACATAAAAACTCTTAGTGAGGCTGAAAAGTACTGTTAGGGTCTTTCGTAAGGGCAGCTCTTGGAGTTACCAGTAGCCAACAGAACATTTAAATACCAATTTTAGTAGGTGCCATTACCTCTACTGCCATATTACCTAATGGCCAAAACTGTACTTACGGGAAGCAGGACTATAAATGAAAGCTCTGGGTGATGTACATGTCAGTACACACCATATATAGCTTTTCCTGTTGCCAGCTGCTCAAACTGGCTTGCTCTGGTGTTTTTCTGCTGGGTGTGGATCTATGACTTCAGGGCTTTAAACCGTGAAATTTGGAGTGAATTGCCAAACAAGTGACAGGTGGAGAGGATGAGTGTCGCTGAAAATCAGAGACATCTCTCACTGGGCAGGGCAGGCAGACTTGAATGGCTAAGCAGTATTTTATGTCAAGATGTAACAGCAGAGAAGAGTCATAAGACTTACAGGAAGGGGAAAAACGCCAACATTATTCACCGTGCAAGTTTGACTGTTTGCCAAGAACAGCATGGTAAAGTGAGGTGTGAACACAACTGAAGAAGGAAGCCTGTGTTTGGTTGAGAGGAGGGGGTGAGTGATGCCGCTCTGGGGGAATTACAGGGGTGTTATCACTGAAGTTAGTAGACTGCAAAAATTAAAAGCCAGCAGGAGTTGGCTTTATTGCCTGTTGAAACTTGAATGGAATGTTATCTAGCTTTTGAACAGATCCTCCCTGCCCTATGTAGGTCAGTGTCACAGTTGATCAAAACAGGAATAGAACAACTCTCCCTAAAAATTCTCATGTCACAGTAATAAGGAAGCCATAAGTTCTCAGAATAAAACATTTGTGAGAAGATCAATCTGCCTAAAAAGTAGAATATAGGAAGAAAAAATTTTAAGTCTTTACTCTGCCAAGGAAAGCAAAAAAAGACCACAAAAACCTTTGGCTCTGAAATTGAAATTGTTCATGTTTTAAGGACAGTACTGTTCCTCAGTATTGAAAGGCTTGAGTCTGATATTTAGAAGCAACTTTGCCTACAATCAAATTCAGAAAGAGGTCTGGAATTTAAATACAACCTAAAATTAAATGAGGTGGTTAAGTTTGCCAAATTGGAAACTATTTGATGAACCACAGACATAGTTAAAGCACAATCACTTTTTGAGACAGATGTTAAGTAACATTAAGGAAAGAGACACTGTTATGGATAAATTTCAGATAACATGAAGGTATGCATTCAGTTTCAGATTATCTTCCTTTATATGAATGTTAGATTGTAAATATCTTTCAGAAAGCATGTAAATTAAATACAAACCATTTACTTTTAGCCTTCTTCAAGATTTATTACTAGATTAATGCATTAACTTTTTGTATCACGCTGCTCTTAAGAAGCTATTTTCAAGAAAACCAAATAGTGTCAGCAATTCAGGGCAAGGAAAATTATACTTGAGATTTTAAGAATTTAAGAATTCAAAAACTAGTTTGATTAGAAGAAATACAGAACATTGGCATCTTCACATTCAAATCATTATCCTTTGATAACATTTTATATTTATGCAATAGATGGTTCTCAGGTTGACAGTAAAATTAATCACCAGCGTCTACATTCAAGTTTACTTTTCTTTTACTTCCGTGTTGTAATACTGCAAGATGTAACTTCTGATATCTCCAGTACTGGCCCATGAAAAGCATTGGCTGACTTGTCTCCTTACAAATAGACACATAACTAGCACACTTTGACACCGACTTTTTAAAGTTCTTCTTTTCTAGATTTTTCTCTGATTTTTTTTTAATGTAGTTCAAAATATACTTAACTTGTAACGTTTCTAGATCATGTTCAATTTGGATAGAGTGCACATCATACTGGATGAAATGGTGCTAAATGGCTGCATTGTGGAAACAAACCCCAACAGAATTCTTGCACCACTGTTTGTGCTCGACAAAGTGGCGGAGAGCTAGGAAGATGCAAGACTGACTGAAGCATGTAACAAAAGATGGGGAAATCCTCAAAAGCATACCAACAAGCAATCCTCTGATTTTGCAAGACCAACTCATGCAATATGTAAATCAGCTTAAAAATATTTCCAGCTTCTCCTGTAACCTGAAAAAGACACAGAACCACAAAGTGGAAACTTCATTTTCAGACTTGCTAAGGACACAGCAGAAGCCTTTCTGGAACAAAGAAACGTTCCTCAAGAATTGTCTTTTCTTTCAAACAAACAAAGAATAAAGCAATGGAAACTTACTTCTGACTGTGTAGGTATTGCTCTGAATCATGTAGCATTCTGCCAGACCTAGAAAGACAGAAAATATGGAAAAACAATTTCAAACTAACTTTCAATGGCACTTTTCAAAACAACAATATGATTTTTTATTTTCATTCGTATGTACACTGAGTGTAAAAGTTCGGTAACTCTTATGACCATCTTTAAACTAGATTGAGTCTTAGTCAAAAAGCTGGTTGTCTTGACCTCTGATTTTCGGTTACAAAATACATGTAAATAACACAAGTGTAGATATATGTAAGATTCCTGTGTGCTGTGTTAATTTAATTTGTAACTATGTTACACTTAAATATTATAACATTAATAAACTAAGTAAAATCAAAAGGTTTGATATTTTATAATACACATTTGCTTCATAAATCACACAGTATCTTTTTTAATTTGGAACACCACTGTTAGGTGTTTTTTTTTTCTCCCCTATTATTCTGTCCACTCATCGTGATTAAAGTCTATAGAACATGATCAAGAAGAAACATGCACATCTCTCAAAACTTTTATGTACCACATCAAGTCTGCAGTAGGAAGTAGCTTACAGTAACTTCTATTCATAAGGCATACAAAATATCCATTTGCATCCAAATGCTACATTCCTTAAATTGCTTAAGTCAGTAATCAGCAATAACTTTAATTTACCTTTCTAGAATGAAGTTATCAGGCTCCTTCTTCGTGATGCCCAAGCCAGTGCTAGGTACAACAGAAGGAATACTGTGAGAGCACTATGTTTGAAAGCATATTGACAGCTGCATTTAAATTGTACAGAAAGCAAAGCCTAGTGAAGTGTAGCAAAGAAGTGTTTACAGCTTACAACTTCCAAGTTCTCTTCCTACCAGCCAGGAAACCTCAGCATCCTGAGAAACAGGTGGCATTCAAACTTCTCAAACTGAAGACACCACAGAGTATAGGCATTTCTTGCAAACTACCACACAAACTTCCAATTAAGGTTAGTATGTTGATCTCTAATCATACATACAGTGCCAGCAGACCGCAGCCTAGTCCTGTTTCTCTGCAGGTTGCCAACATAAATATTCCTTCCCAATTCAAGACAATGCTACAGTTTAATAAATTTTAAAAATACATACAGAACTATTGCCATGTTTCTTTTAAACCTTGCAAAAGTATGGCCTCCTGTTCAAAACACATACATAGATTTAGTAACATAAGAAATATTAAGAAGGTATTCAGAGGAGACAGCTGTATATGTTGCAAACATTTTAATGATTACTGTTGAGCTTACACATTGGGTGTTTTGTTGTTTTTAAACTTCAAACTGCAACAAGTTAAATAAATGTTTATAATATACAAAGAAAATACAACCAAAAGTAAAACTTGCTTTAAGTGTGCCTTGCACTAGAAACCAGTGTTGTTTTTTTTTTTTTTTTTAATAGCTTTATTGTTGAACTGCACAAATACACTTAAGGATTTGATCTTCATAGCAGGGCATTTGAGAAATCAAAATATATTCCCACTTGAAAGAAAACAAAAGGTTGTGCATGATTATATGCAAAAACCCACTAAAATACTCCAATAGTGCAGGCACCATTAAAAAAGAAAAAGCTGGAGATGCCCATTAACTCTAAGTTTTAAGGAAGCAAGTTTCTGACCAGTTAGCTTAAAGCCAGCAAAACAGGGATCAGTGATGGCAACTGTAGTGTACAAGGTATTAAATGACAAACTTTACACAAATACACTGTTAGAAATTTGTATCAGTGAACACTGAAAATCTGATGATCTGTTCTTTGGAACAGTCAAACAGAACCACCTTAATTTCCAGTTGTGCAAGCCCTTGAAGCATCACACAGTGTTCTGTGCCAATTTCTTGCTGGCTGTGTAGTTACAAGGATTTATTCTGTCATTAGCAGCTAACAAAATTATTCCACATGTTCCTCACGAGTGAAAAAAGGCAAGTCTCGTCAGAGCACAGCGTGGAGATCATATTTTTCTGCACACAAACACAAGAGGCTTTGCTAGTATCAAAAAACACTTTCTCATGTCCAATATTGCAGTCAACAACTCAGTTGAGATGGAAGCCTTTCTCCATTGTAGCAGCTAGCAGACGCTCTCTCATAATCTCCTCAGAAGAATACTCAGGCAACTTCAGGTAATGCACACATGTATTCACAGATGGGTAACTGGCATCTGTAGCATCAACCTGAGGAAAACAAAGAACATTTGCTACTGCAGTTGTTCACTTCATGTGCTTATGTACTATAAGGATGCCAAAAAAAAAAAAAAATGGCATCAGGAAAGCTACAGACATAAAAATGTATCCACTTTGTATATACATTAAATCCTTTCTAAGCAAATGAGATGTCAGAGAACGGACCTGAGGCACAGGGTAGTACTGAAAGCTTGGCATAGCGACATGAATTAGAAAAGGGAAGAAAATTTAAAAAACAACCAAACACAAAAAAAACACCAATGCAGCAAGGCCTACATTCAAATGCCAAACTAGCTGGTTTGGAAAGGTAACCTGAAGAAACCATACCTTGCGTACAACAGTCAGCCGGGGATGTAGGTTTGCCAGTCCTCCTGGTGGGAGTGTTGAGCAACCAGTGGTGAACTGGAGGAAAGCCTTTCTTTCATCTGAAGACATACCACACAGAACTCTCACAAAGCGAAGGAATCCAGGGCTTAAAATAAATTAAAATGATCAGTTACAATAACATTCTATGACAGATGTTCTGCTTCCCTCCCCAATTTTTCTTCAGACATGAATATCAGCATCTTTAGCAGTGCCTAAGTAGTCACTGTAAGATTCCAGTTTCTGTTCGGTAGTCGGTTAAGAATAAAACATCATAAAACATAAAAATACTTTTTAACTCTTCCTGCTGAATACTACAAGGAAAACTGCAGGTAGATTAATAACAAATTCTCCATACTTATCCTGGAGCGTTATTTGGCCATCTTTTGTAGGAACAGCTGGAGAAGACAACAATTCAAGTCTATTCTATGAAGAATCTAAGCTTAAAACCTTTCACATACCACCTCTGCAGTATGAAGTCATTTCCATTCATATATGAGTTTGTTTCTAACTTGCTGAAGACTTCATGCAAAAAAAATACAAGAAAATATAACAGACTACCAACAGATCTTCAGAGAATTCTCTGAATACCAGCATTTTTATCTGTGTCAGCCGAAAAAACATGGACCAGAGGGCATGTATGAAGAAAGTATTACTTCCTGCAACATGCCCTTAGGTATCAGACACCGCATTTCAGCTGTATCTTTGTATGCAGGGCAGGCTGCACTCAGCATCTAAGGCTAGTTATACTACACAGCATGCTTATACTAACATAGTTTCATACCCAATTTCTATGTTTTAGCTACTAAAAAAGATGAGTAGCCAAAAACAAACCACTAAGACCACCTCCCAGTAGCCAATCAGCAGTGTATATTCTGACTGCACAGTATTTTTTGTTTCAACTACACTTGAAGAGGAAGAAATAAGAAATAAATGACAAATATCAACCATAGCCAACTGAAGTCGTAGCCACCAACAACACAGATGGAAGTAAAAATTCTCAAGTGATACATTTTAATAGTGTGTCTAAGTAAGCTGCCCTTACATTTCCACTAGTTTGACACTTAAATATTTTCTTTTTTATTTATCCTCATCATGAAAACACCAAGTGCCTTCTAATCTATGTGTTGTAACACAATTATTTCATATAGGTTAAGGCAATTAGTTGCTCTTCAATCGCTGCCCATTCCCATTTTACATCTTTACCTGAGGAACATTCTAGGTGTTTTGTCAACCATGCATCTAACTGATCTTTAAACCACTTTGAACTAAAGTACCTGTCCCGTGTATATCCCAGTTTAGGTTCTGTATAATTGATGATATCCTCTGCTGCCCAGGAAGGCGACTGATTTCCACAAAGAATCATCTGAACTTCTTCATGACTGAAAGAACTCAGCTTCTCCATTGGGAAGACTCTATTGAAGCCATCTTTAATATATACAAGATATTGTTATGAAGGCACACCAAAAGAATGTTTAACAAAATAACATCAGCACTTCAATTGTACTTCAATCAAGTAAACATCTACCAACATTTTCTAAATTAACAGAACTGAATGTCTCCAAGGTTTGTAACAGTATACCTAATGTAAAAGTGTTATGAAACAAATCTCTTCTTTACCTGCTACATCCTCAAGTGTTTGTTTCTGAAAGCCATTCTACACCACTAATTCAAACCAGGACACCCTGAACATCAGTAAGTCCACTTAAATATATATCCTGCCATAAATAAAATTACCTCTGAATGCCTCCATCTGTTTCTGTATACCAGTATGCATACAGAAGTCAAACATGAGATCCACATACTCCTCTGCATTATCCATTGTTACAGTCTGTAAAAACAATATATAAATACTCTAAGAATTCACAGTGCATTACAATTGCTGCTGAGATTTCTGCAAGTTAGTTCATTTCTTACCTCATCTTCACCACCTGGCTTGAGATCTACAGCTGTAAATCCATACACTTTGGATGATGGGCAAAACTGAAAATTTAAACTTCAAGACAGAAAAATTGTTAGTTGCTAACTGGAAACAAGTTTGCTATTGCTTTTGTAAATACTCAAGATTAACGAACCCTCCCTTCTCCATTTCAAAACACTGCGGATCATTTTGTATATACCTAAACAGTGGTACCATAGTATAAAACTACAATTAGTAATGGACTTTGCAAGTAGTATTTCCTGTCTACAGTATGCATGTGTATTTGCTCACTACTTACTTTGTTTTGCTATAAAAACATTCTTGCAGTTCTCTTTAAACTATCAACCTCAAAACAACTTGAGCAGCTTAATTTAGTTCATGATCTCAAAGAGAATCAATTACATTAATTTCCAATACTAATAGTTATAGAGATACTTAACACACTTAGGCCCTTCAGTGGTGGTACTTGTGCTTGTTCTCACTTGCTCTTACGTTACACTGAAGTCAACAAGGCCATAAGCAATTACCAAACCTTAACTATATAATTCCTGTGGCAGAAGATGATTTTTATGAATAACTCACACTACTAGTGTTGTTTGAAAAGAAATATTTCAGAACTACAAAAGATGACATCCTCAAATTCACACAGTAGTTTTGTATCTTCCAACACTGCACTGATGTCTATTAATACATATCCACATTTCAGAAAAGCTCAAAGGGTTCTCTTTAAAAGCTCTTCAAGAAGTTGAATAAATTTCAATAGTTGTCATAACAAATGGATTGATTCACATTTTTGTAAAGGTCTTAGC